CCAGGGATTTAGCTCAGTGGTGCCGCCACCTGCCTCACAAGCGCAAAGACGCGAGTTTGATCCCCGGAAACAAAACAAACAAATAAATGTTTCTATCCCAGACTGGATATAATATTTTTTTGGGTTTCCTAATACTGATATTTCTCATCCCCACAAAGAATGTATTGTTTTTAAAAAAGACAAAAAAGTGTATTTGAAAGTAAAGTCAGATGGAAAATTCATTTTTAAAATGTCCTGTTTTTTCGCTTTTTCTGATACAAGAAGGCTGTCGCCTGTTTCGGCCACACATGTCCCAGTGCCCAGAACTGGGTTAGGAACTAGGAATTTGGTCCGAAAATGGCATAGCCGTTGTCCCCTGACTGGGGCCTGGTTCTAACTCCCAGAGCTCCTCTCTCCTCATCAACCTGGGTGCCCTCCCCAGAAGCCGTCGGTGCTCAGGAATAGCACTCGGTTTTTCTCTTTTCTCCAGATGACTAAACTTTTTTCTGTACCTATTAATTTTTCCAACTAATAGCATAAAAGTGTTTTGTTTTGTTTTTTTGGTACCGGGGATTGAACTCGGTTCCTTGTGTTTGCAAAGCAGGCGGCAGAACCTCTGAGCTAAATCCCCGGCCCTAAAAGTGGTTTTTTTAAAAAAGAAAAAATTCAAACCCAGGCTGGGCAAGTTAATAACTTAGACCCTGTCTCCAAACACAAAATAAGAAAAGGGCCAGATATTTAGCTCAGTGGTGCTGCCACCTGCCTCACAAGCCAAAGGTCCTGAGTTCGATCCCCGGTATCAAAAATAAATGGGGGGGACCCTGCAGAGGTCCTGGGTTCGATCCCTGGTATTGCAAAAAGCAGAATAAGCAGCTGGAGGCCTGCGGAACTCACACCCAGCCTGCTGTGTGACCACCTGGGGTCATGGCGGGGTCTGGGTGCCCCCCAGCCTTGTGGTCTTGGGGGGCTGTGCAGGAGTGGCTGGATTGTGGGGTTGCAGTGCTGATCAGTCTGCTGACTGGCCTGGCGCTGCCCGGAACCCCTGAACAGAGTAGAAAAGAGTCAGAGATGCTGCTGGGGTCATACAGCTGCCATCTCCTCGCTGCTTGCCGTGGCCGTTTCCCTCTGCGACCACACAACCTGGAGCCACCGGCTGTGGACTGAACCTTGTGTGAGCTGTGAGCTGAACAAACCGTTCCCCTTTGACTTGAGTGCAGGGTGTTTTGTCTCAGCAGTGAGAAGGTAACTAAGATACTAACTCCTCTGGGGATTCAGTATTGGTAAGAGCTCAGGTGGACGCAGGAGCGGACCACACGGTTAAGGAAGTGGGCCCAGCCTGAAGCCCAGGGCAGCCAGCAACCCAGAGGCAGGCAGGCAGGGATTTCTGGCAGGTCCGGCAGGTAGGACAGGCCAGGCCTGGTCCTGCGGCCACTGGGACCCAGCACCACAGGCAACAGCTGCTTTCTTGTGCCATGTTTAGCTCTGGAGCTCCTGCCGGCCACAGTATAGTAACTGTGGAACAAGCGAACCCTGGGTTTGCAGGGCTACCATCCCCACACCCAGGGAGGCTGAGGCAAGAGGATTGCCAAATCCGAGCCCAGCCTGGGAGACTCAGATCTAGTCTCTAAAAAAATAAGAAAAGGGTTGGGGATGCATCTCAGTACAAAGACCCAGGTTCAACTCAAAGAACTGCAAAAAAAGAAAAAAAAAAGTTTTAGAAATTGGATTGTTAGTTTTCTTATTACAGAGTTTGAAGAGTTCTTTGCATATTTTGGTTAATAGTCCTTTGTCAGTTGTGTCTTTGTTTTATTTTACTGGAGAAGGACATCCTCAGACCCTTTTCTTTTTTATTTATTTTTCAGTACCAGGGATTGAACTCAGGACCTTGTGCTTGCCAGGCAGGCACAGCACCAATGAGCTAAATCGCTGGTCCCCCGGTCCTTTTTTTTTTATTTTTTTATTTTGAGGCAGGGTTGCTAAGTTGCCCAAGGTGAGCTAGAACTTGTGATCCTCCTGCCTCAGCCTCCCAGAGTGCTTGGGACCACAGGTGTGCACCACTCTAATCACAACACTGGGGAGGCTGAAGCAGGATTGGCACAAGTTCAAGGCCAGCCTGGGCTACCTCAGGAGACCCTGTCTCAAAGAACAAAAACAAAGCAGGTGTGGAACCACCTTGTATAGCTCAGATACATCTCACTTTGAAGTGGTAGTAGTACTTTTTCATGTAACACGGGATTTGATTTACCGATATTTGAAGGGGACTTTAAAATTATGTTGCAAAGGAGATCTGGGCCTGTAATTTGCTTTTCTTCTCAGATCTTCGTGTGAATTCACCGTTAGAGAGACGCTGGCCTCCTCGCTGAGAAAGAAAGCCTGTTGTGGTGGCACTGGCCTGTCATCGGTACCTGGGAGGCCGCTAGTGAGTTCAAGGCCAGCCTGGGCTACAGAGTGAGGCCTCGTCACAAATAAATAAACAATAAATGGGGGGCGAGAGGGGCAAGGGTGGGAGAGGAATGTAAACACCAGGTGCTGAAAACGTGGACTCATAAGAAGCAATTTCAAAAAGGAACAAGAAAGATAAAAAAGGGTAGTGAGGGCCAGGCCTGGGGGTGCATACCTGTAGTTCCAGCACTTGGGAGGCTGAGGCAGGAGGACTGGACCGCTGTGAGTCGTGAGTGCAAGACCACCCTGAGCTACACAGCGAGACCCTGCCTCAAAAATACAAAAGGCCCCAAAAATAAGGGTTGTAAGGGAAGACCAGGAGTGCCCACGCCCCAGATGAAATGGACCAACTGCTTGAGGGTGGAGCTCACCAGAATTCACACGAGCAGAAGGAGGTAATACACATCGGCCTACATCAGTTAAACCGAGCAATGACGACGGCCCTGGGCAGAGCACTCCGGAGGCTGAGGCAGGAAGATCACTGCATGTCCAAAGCCAGCCCATGATACCAGGAATACACTACAGCCAGAACCAAACCCAGACACAAGTGATTAGTAAAACAGAAAGTGCCGGGTCCTAGTGTGTTCTGGTGAATTCTGCCAAATCTCAGGAAACAAATTATGCTAATTTTCCACAATCCCACCCAGCACAGAGAAGCACAGGAACTATTTCTTTTTCCCTTCCTCCCTCCCTCCCTTCCCTCCCTTCTTTCTTCCTTTTTTTTTCTTTTTTGAGACAGGGCCTCACTGTGTAGCCCAAGCTGGCTTCACACTCACAACGATCCTCCTGCCTCAGCCTCCCGGATTCCGGGATGACAGGTGTGGGCCGTCACACCTGGTCTCCCTCCACCTCTCAGTCCCTTGACATTTTGGGATGAGCCATGCCTTGCTCCCCGCTCTTGCCTTCCCTCCTGTAGGAGGGGCCGAGCCCTGGCTTACTGCTCACCTGTGGCACAGGCTGTATGAGGCCCCTCCCTGCCTCAGCCCCGTCAAGGTTCACCGATTTCATCAATCTTCAGCCTTTGGTTTGGATTGTGTTCCCTCTTGGCTGCCATTTTAAATTTCATTTATTTCTGCTCTACTTTGTATTGATTTCCTTCTGCTTATTTTATATTTGATCTATGCTTCTTAGCTTCTTTCTGCTTTTCAGTCACATTCAGATGCCTGCCTTTTCATTTTATTTATTTTTTGCTTTTCTTTTTTTGTGGCGCTGGGATCCTACCCTAGTCTTTGCACTTTACTATACCAGTGCTCTGCCACCAGGCAACACATCCAGCCCTGTTTTTGCCCTTTAGGATAAAAGTGTGGCCCAGCATGGAGGTGCACATCTTTGATCCCTGCTATTCCGGAGGCTGAGGCAGGAGGATCACTTGAGTAGAGGAGTTGGAGCCCAGCCTGGGTTACACGGTCAGCTTCATCTCAAAACAAAAAACAAAGCAAGAGCTGGGGATGTAGCTCCGTGGTGCCACCGCCTGCCTGGCAAGAACAAGGTCTGAAGTTCAATCCCCAATACCAAAAAACAAAACAAATCAAAAAATACAACAGAATTAAAAAACCCCTAAAAACACTGAAAAAGAGTACGAAGAACTGCTTTTTCCAAGAAGCACAATTCTTTCTTTCTTCCTTTTGAGACAGGGTCTCCTTTTGTAGCCCAGGCTGGCCTGGAACTCATGGCAATCCTCCTGCCTCAGCCTTCTGAGTGCCAGAATGACAGGAGTGCACCACTCCTGGCCATTACTCGACGTAAAGGTGCTCACCCTCAGGAGCTCTCGTGTCATGAGCAGCTGCCACTTGATGAGTCTCATGACATTTAGGGCCCGGACCCAGGACCAGCTCAGTCAGAGACATCCATGGAATTGGAGTTGGTACTGTGTTGTCTTCCTGTTACTGATTCTTTTGTTTTTGTTTTGTTTTGTTTCTGAGGCAGGGTCTCCCTGTGTAGCCCAGGCTGGTCTCTACCCCACAACCATCGTCATGCCTCAGCCTCCCGAGTGCTGGGATTACAGGTGTATGCCGGCCTGAACTACATAGTGAGACTTTGTCTCAAAAAACAGAAATTCTGTCTACTGTTCCATAATTATTTGTTTTGGTTTGGTTTTTTTGGCACCAGGGATCAAATTCAGGTCCTTGCGCTTGAGAGGTGGGTGCCAGAACCACTGAGCTAAATCCCCAGCCCCAGTTCCATCATTACTCAGAGTGGTTGTAGGCTTCTGTTATAATTATGTCACTGTCTGCCTTGCAAGTTCAATCTCCAGTTAAATATATATATATAAAATATATATATTATAATTATGGATTTATCTAATTCTCTTTTCAGTTCTGCCTGTTTGACTTCATGTATGTAAACCTCTGTTTAAAAATTAGATGGCATGAAGACTGGCACCACGGTGCACACACATGTGACCTCAGCACTGTGGGAGGCTGAGGCAGGAGGATCACAGGTTCAAACCCAGCCTGGGAAATGTAGTAATTTATTCAGATCCCGCCTCGGGGGTCGGGGGGCAGGGGTGTTGATCAGTCTGAAGGCCCTGGGTTCCACCCCAGAGCTGAAAAGAGCATCACGGAGCCCCTGCCGCGCTGTTACACGCGGCATGTGTTAGCAGCTGCTCTGCACAAGCGGCAGTGTGGTTCTGACCCCTGTGCACAGGACCCACGTCTCTGGGCTGTGCAGCACACGTGCTGCTTCTGGAAGCTGACATCCGCCTAGAGACAGGAGAGCGGGACTGGTCCCTGGCACCCGCGTCTGGCCCACCCTTCCTGCCCCTGCTCTGCGCCCTGAGGCTCCCCTGCCAACTGTCACAGCTCAGGGAACTGACGGTCACTCTCGCTCCTGGGGCTGGGGAGCTGGGGGCCAGGCTGCTCATGCCGTGCCCATCCCCTGGCGCCTGTGTAAAGGATGTGATCTCTGCCCTAAGGGCTCAGAGGGGACCCGGGGAGTGGCCGACTCCACCAGGCCACTGCCTCGCTGTCCCCTCCGCAGAGGCCATGGCCCCAGAGCCAGCAGCCATGGACAGAGACCTCGGAAACTTCGAGCCCAGGGGAACCCGGTGTCTCATGGGACAGAAAACTGCCTACATGGGGACTCCACGCCATCCCCAGCCTGAGGAGGCCTGGCCTCCTATGGCTCAGCCTTCGTCACCTCTCAGGCCACCCTCTGACTTGGAGTGCAGAGTCCCAGGGACAGGGCCCACACAGCCCGGGTGTTCAGGCCAGGACCTCAGGGACCCATGGGAAGGCTTGACCCAGGGACAGCGATTCCCACTCAGGGAAGCCACGAGTGGCTGCATATGTGATCCTAGCACTCAGGAGGCTGAGGCAGGAAGATCACAGGCTCAAGGCCCACCTCAGCAACACGAGGAGATGCCGTCTCAAAAACAAACAAGCAAGCTGTGGACATGTAAGTGATCCCAGTGCCATTTCCAACTGAATTCTGGAAAGGCAACAAGAAAACAAATTTAAAGGGCTTCGTTACAGCTGAATTAACTAAAAACAACAACAACAAAGGGTGAAGGGGACAGTAGAAGTATCCCAGTTGGGGGCCTGGTGACCAGGCCTGGCCAGGGCGTGAGCAGGTGACCCCGAGGCCCCCCAGCCCTGCCACTGCCTGAGCCAGCAGTGACCTGAGGGGCTCTTGGCCAGTGAAGGGGATCTGGCCCTGGGGTCTGGGTGACACCACAGGACACTGCCCCAGGCCAACCAGGCACAGCCACAGTGGGGACCCCCAGAGATGTGAGCAGGGTTGTCTGTGCCCACGCCCGGGACAGGCACATGGCAGAGGGTGGCAGGGCAGCAACAGCTCCCACTCCCGCATGCAAAAGTCAGTTCTAAGGGGCAGGTGGAAGACGTGGGAATAGTTCTATCACTGAGGGTGGGGACATTTTTAAAACAGCAAAACAGAGATTTCAGCACATCAAAATTCAAATGTTCTGTTCAACGAAAGGGACAGAATTGAGAGAGTTGACAAAATGGCATGGATTTATTTTCTTGTGGGGGGTCTGGTGGGTTAAACCCAAGGGCTTCCCACTGAGCTCCGGCCCCAGCACCCCCTTTAAATAATTATTTATTTATTTATTTATTTTTTTTGTACCAGGGATCGAACTCAGGATCTTGTGCTTGCCAGGCAGGTGGCAGCACCACTGAGTTAAATCCCTGGCCACTAAAAAATTTTTTTGTTTTGAGACAGCATCTCTCTGAGTCACTAAGTTGCTCAGGTTGGGCTTGAACTCGGGATCCTCCTGCCTCAGCCTCCCAGAGTCCCAGAGTGCTGGGATTACAGGCATGCAACACCACGCCTGGCTCCCCACAGTGCCTATTTTCAAGGACAAGTTCAAAGAAAAAGATATACACAGTTTAGTGTTGTTGCCCCTAGAGTAGAACATGAGGGCAAAAGAGAGGGAAGAAAAGAAAGGCAGGAAGAGATGGAGAGAGGACAGGAGCAAGGTGCATGTGGGGCGAGAGCATCCCCACACCAGGTCTGCGTGTCTGTGTGTGTCTGCGTGTGTGTGTGTGTGTGTGTGTGTGTGGCCTCTGCCGTGGCCCTGGCTCTGAGGCCACCGCTGGGCCTTATCCAGTGACCCACACCGTGTGACCTCATACGAGGCTTCTCTGTCGTCCCTTTTCGAAGGCCTCAGCGCCTTCCTGCTTCCTGGGTCTCAGTCCCCCCTCTTTCCGGTTCTTGGCTGTTATAGACAGCGTTGGGCTAGGGCAGGGGGCAGAGGTTTGCAGTGATGAGGACTGAGACACCTACATCCACAGCCTTTTAAATTTTGAGACAGAATCTCACCAAGTTACTAAGTTGCTCAAACTGGGACTGGAACTTGGAATCCTCCTGCTTCAGCCTTCTGAGTGGTAAGATGATAGGTGGGTGCCACTGAGCCACGCCACTTTTTTTTTTCTTTTGGTTCCAGGGATCAAACTTGGGTCCTTGCCCTTTAGAGGAAGGCAGCAGCACCTCTGAGCTAAATCCCTGGCCCAAGGAGGTTTTGATTCTGTCCCACTCCTCCATTTCCAGGCTGGGGGTATTTTGTGCCTGACACCTGTGTGGCCCTCGTGGCCGCAGCTGAGCCACACAGAGGACATTTCTGCATAAAGGTCAAGGGTCTCAGTGGCCCAGGCAGGGCAGGGCTTGGGGCTCCTTCCCACTCTCCAGGATCCAGCCTGTCCTTTCCCCAGGCCCTCAGCCCTGGTCAGGCCCTGGTGACCTGGATGGAGCTGAGCACAAGCTCCTACCACCCCATCCTACTCCTGCCAGGTCCCTCTCCAGTGCCCTCCAAGCTGCCCTGCTGGGCGGGGCCAGGCCATGCTCCAGGCGCCTTGCAGTGGGAGATATTGGGGCAGGCTGTCCCCCAAATTGAGGTGGCTCTGGCTCCCTTCAGCCCCGCTGCAATGACACAGGCCCCTCTGGACAGGGAAGGTCGGGGAGGCCTGGCCCTCAGCATCCAGTCCCCGGCCGTCTTCCCAGGGCAGGGCCACCGCATAGGGAAGTAGCGGTCAGCCCAGTCACTCTCCCTGGGGCCCAGTTAGATCCGGCGTCCACTCGGCCAGCCCAGGGCAGCTGGGGACAGGCGGCGGTAAATACAGACCCTGAGGGAGCTGAAGGCTGGACCCGCACTGACAGGGGTCAGTGTCCCACAGCCTCCCGTCTTACCCGGGTGACCCTGGGAAGCAGCTGGGGCAGGGCCAGAACCTTCAAAGTGGATCAGGGAGGGACAGGCTGAGCATGCGATGGGTTTGACTCCCAGCATCAAAAGGGAGGGAGGGAGAAAGGCCACTCCTGTGTGGCCTTTGAAAAGCTGTGTCCTCGCTCCGGGCCTCAATTTGCTTTGATGATTCCTCTCAAAGACGCTGCCCAGCCAGGAGCTCTCAGTAATCCCAGCACTTTGGGAGGCTGAGGCGGGAGGGTCTTAAATTAGAGCCCAGTCTGAGCAATTTAGCAACTAAAAAAGGTTGAGCCTGCAGCTCAGTGTGACGGCCCAAAGCTATCTCCTTGCTGAGTTCCGCGTGGGGAGCTGGTAGTCTGAAGAGACCAGGGCTCTGTGAGCAGCAGGGCTGGGTCTCCTGACGGCTCTGTCCCAGGGCCCAGAGCACCTGCCCCTACACTCTTGGTGCTGCCTCCTCTGAGCACTGTGCCCTTGCCTACCCGGCCCCTCAGAGGGATTCACGCCAGGCCAGGTTCTAGCACAGACACATTTATTGGCAAAACCTATTCCCAAGCACACGGGGCAGAGCAGAGCAGGGCCAGCAGGCAATGTCCTCCACTTCCTCGGCTGGACTGGAGGAGCAGGAGACACAGGACCCCTGTGGGTGACCACGCCATGTCCCCCGGGGCCTGTGCCGCCAAGCGAGCGTCTCTGCACCCCTCCACCCCCTGCGTCACTACCGACAGTCCTCTCCGTCCTGTTTCTCACCACGTTCAGTTCTTTCAACTCTTTTTATAGATTTATAAAAAAAATGGATCCCTCCGCCCCGCGTCCTGGAGAAGCCCCGTCTGCTGCCCCACCCAGTGAAACCTGGGTTTTCCGTGGTCTGGTTTGGACTGGGTTGGGCCAGTGGGGCCTACTGGGGTCACCCTGAAGCCAAATACAGCAAAGCCCTCAGAAAAGACACAATAAATTACACCCCTCCACCCAAGTCTAGACCGCCCCCCAGGGCAGCGAACTGCCTCAGCCCCGAGTCCCCAGGCACTCAGGGGAGGCCGGTACCCGTCCCGGCCTCCCCACAGCTCCTCTCTGGCCTCGGTTCGGCAGGGAGAGGAAGGTGACCCCCCCAACCCCAGCCCCCCAGGACCGCAGCGGGCACCGTGCCCCTGCAGTGTGCTCGTCTGTGACCCCGTGCCCGTGGGTAACGTGGGTGTGGTCCACGCGCCCCGCTGCCGAAAAGGACGCAGAGGCAGGAGCGTCCCATTGTCCCCCGACTGCACTGGCCGGTGCACCCGGTGGCGGCCGAGACCCCA